CTACCCACGGGGGCCATATGCCTTGAACAATTTAGGATCTATACTACTCAATTAAGTTTCCACGTAAGTTTCATCTTTTCGTGACCAGTAATTCTTGAACATAAGATTTACAGTTTTCCCTATACATTTCAATATATAGGATATTGATTGGGTGCCTAGATTGGAACAATTTAGATTCTACACTACCTCAGGAACTGCCATATAAATTTCATCTTTTCTGGTTCAGTGGTTTCTTGAGATATTTTTTCCATATATGTAAACGTAAAACTTTTTAATTAACTACTGTGCGCCCCCCACCCCCCACCCCCACCCCACCCCTTTCAGACAATAAACCTGTACCTGTTAAACGCACACCCAGGTAGAGGATTTAAATGCCTTGTCGACTTTTGTCTAACACTTGTCAGTAATTTGATCTTTGCAATTTGATTTTACATCGATGAATCCCTACTGGATTGTAGAGTGATTCGGGTGATGTTACACAAAAAGTAAATTTACCTTAAAAGTTTCTGGTGTATGACGGAAAGATCTGACTTTTTTTGTTATTTGCAGTCAGCAATGAGAAGTCATAAAGCACCTTTATCAGACATGAACAGTTGGATTTCTAATAGTTATTTATCGATAATATCGTCCTGCAACATTTTATTGGTCTTTATAACTAGACCACGTACAATGTAAACGCAAGGCAGATAATTTAAATTATTTCAGATATGTGAGAGGATATACTTTCCTAATTTACATTGTAAAATCTTTGACATACTAGTTAAAAAAATTATTCTCGACATGTACTTTAAATTACTTTACGTCTACTTTCCCAGTTTAATATGGGCGGCAAAATTAATGCGTTCCTTGAACACTTTAATGATCGATCAAATCTGTATTAAAACATGACTCTCAAGAAAATACTTAACATATGAACCATTTCAGATGAAAAAAAAGAAACAGTAATTCATCAAATTCTAAACAATTGTTTATATATACTTTTATTATATACCCAAGTGTGTATCACTCAATTTTACTGTAGATTTCGTACAATCACGTGAAGGTGTGATCCGACTTTCCGGATCACCACACTGTGGTTTTCTGAATCCATATCACTCCTCTCTGAAATTGATGACGTAGCACACAGGAACATGACGTTATTTTTCATGCGCATCAAAAAGTTCCTTGACAATATGCTTTGTTTAATGGAAAAATCTTATATCATTGATCTCAAAAGTTTTTTTAAAACTATATTTTGCTAGTTGTAAGGGAGGTATATAATAAATTTATCATTATAACAGTAACTTGATCCGAAGAGTCGTATCACGTCGAGTTGACAGGCGCGGATCATCAGATCAAACGAGACGCTTCGCGTCGCGTCTCGTTTGATCTGATGATCCGCGCCTGTCAACTCGACGTGATACGACTCTTCGGATCAAGTTACTGTTATAATAATGTATATGCACCATAGTTTCTATAATTCGCAAAAACCAGTATTCACTCTAAACCATTATTGGCGACTAAGGAAATAAGGAATGCCGAAAACAATTCGTTGAATTGTATTTTTAAAAAAGTAATATTTGCTTTTCTGACATAACTCCTGATACATGCCAATAAAAATGAAACCAGACCAGCTGTTTTTGAGACATTTTCGGCAAAGGAAGACAGAAAATATCTCATATTCGGAGATTTTTTTTTTAATCAATTTGATTTTTGGATATCGGAGGACAAAGAATTAAATTGACCGTTTGTCTTATCATCCAAAATCGAAGCCCTTTTATCAGGCTCCGACACTGTATTTAAATACAGTCAACTCTTTTGTTGAACATAAGCCAATGTGCAAATTACGTGTCCGCTAACAAAACAAGACATATTTCAGAAAACAGTCCATTTAGTAATCAATTGAAAATTTTGAACAAGTAATCGTCTCCAACAGCTCTTTATTTGAATGGGATATTTAAATGCGTCGAAGGTGTATATTCCCATCAATTGGGCCTTCTTTTCAAAGCATAAGGATTTTTTTAAAATTTGTTTTGAGTTTCTTTTAGATAACTTGGTTAATTTTTGAAGGAGTAATTATATACATGGATTAAATAATTTGCATTGATTAGGTAAGGATTTGAAATGTCGTTTTATTTCAAAAAGTACAGTTATAACAGAAGTCATTGCCTTTCATAAGATCATTTTACATTTACATGCAGTTTTGTCAAACGTTCTTTTTCCTGTATGAATGATTTTTCGACACAAATTAAAAATAAATACACGTTATCAAAAGTTTCTCATTTTTGTGGGGTGGGGTATTTACGAATATATGTATTTCAATAATTTAAATTTTAAAAGCGGATGTTAATTATTTCTCGAAAGATAAAGCCAATTATGAAAATGTAAGAAGAAAAATCAATTCTCGGTCAGTGTGTTTATTAATTTTTCTGTGCTTCAATTTAATTATTTGTAGATAAATTTAAACAAGCCAAAGTAAAATGGACTTCCTATCAGAAAAAGTATGGGAACCTTTGTTTGAGAGATTTGGAAAAGAAACTCCAAGACTTGTCTTGTCCGTAATCGGTGACTCGGACAGCTTCGTTCCTCGGGCCTGGCCTAAATCAGTTTTTCAGACGGCGCTTATTGAGACTCACAAAAGCAGCGGAGGAGGTAAGTGTGAAAAAAATATAATCTACATCGCAGATGAATGCTAGTTTATACATGCCAACAAATTAAAAAGATTCTAAAGTTTCGGTAACAAAATGTTCCCTAGACTATTTCCATTTCATTAAAAAAAAAGGTTTACGCTTTTTCTTTGTCCCGTTACTAATTACCGATGTGTTCATCTTGAATGGCACTGAGGGTGTCACTATAAATATTCTTTCACACATGCGAGCACCAAAGGTATTAATTTACATAATGTTCTCACAAACATTTATTGCATATACCCATGATTCTTTTATACTTTTACTACACGTAGATCCAGAGCACAATGGTTTGTACAGCACGTAGCAGACATTTCTCCTCAATCAGATGTTTGTTTAAAAAACCTAATAGCTCTGACGCTCCTGTCTTAATGCGGTATATCAGACCCCTTTGTGATTTGACTTGTAGCAGATAAATCTATCAAATCTTGGTTTAAATGACCTGTGAAGGTTGTAAATATTTGTAAAGTGCACTATTACAACAGTTATACTCTGAAGACATAAATTATCAAATCCAAGTATTGAATAAAAGTTAAGATATAAAACATTACACAAGAACTTATATTTATTTGACTTCTGCATAAACAAGGCTAGAATAAACTTTCATAACATCAATCTTCAGTACAATTTAAAGAAAAAAATATAAATCATTAACTTTGAATTCACCATCATATTAGCAAGTTTTTTAACCAACATACCGATACTAATTCTTTTGAAGTCTAAAAACTGACTTACAAGAGGTATGAACGTAAAGGTGTATCTCATTATTTTGTTAAAGAAATATTGATTCACATTCTTATATCTATTATCGAAGAATTTGTTCAGTCCAAGGGATCTTTATTTCTTCATTCAGACACCTGGATACTGTACGGTAATAAGGATGTGGGTGTATCGAAGGTTGTAAGAGACGCAAAAAACGTTTACACAACAATGGAGAAGTCACAGAGAAGAGACGAGATTAGGTTGATTGGTATTTCATCACCTGTTTCTACTTCCGAAGACGTTATAAATTTTGGAGAACAAAACAAAATAAGTGTACGTTATTTTTAAAGGAGGAAATTTTTGTTTGAACAGTTTTTTTAAGAACATAACCCACCTTTTAATTCTTAATGGGCAATTGCTAAATATTCTTTTAAGTGTTTCTACTCTTTTTTGTTGCGTGCAGAACAAAGTGACACTAAAGGAATACTTTGCTCGGTGTCTGTCTATGCGTCTGTTACATCCTTGATAATTGGTAGTGTACAGGATTTGATTATTTGCTCATAAATTGCTTAAAGATGGTCTTTGTAAATTACATTGATCACTGGCCTTTGACCTACTTTTCAAAATACACTACATGTATAATTCTTATATACACACATTCTTTTACCTTTGAAAGGTAAGTCTCTTCTATTTACCATGAACGAGGGTCGGTCAACAAGTTTTGCAACAGTTTATCATTATACATTTCAGTTGTACTTAAGAACTCCTATAATCACAAAAAAGCATGCTTTTACCTATAGTCTTTGCAAGGAAATTCTCTTGTAAAGTACGCATGGTTACTACACTGAGCTGAAACCTAATTAAAAATTGTCTCTCCGATGAAGATGAATATGAGGGCTTATGTAAAAACTTCGCTTCGTAACAAAAATCGCCGAAGAACCCATGTGGAGAAATGTGGTTTTGATATGTAGAAGAGCTAGTCTTTCACAATGTATAATTTTGAGAAAGAAAAAAAATCAAAATTTAAAAAAAGAGAGAGAGAGAGAGAGTTAAAAGCTAACAATCGAACTAATCGATTGAAATATGTAGGGAAACCAAAAAATGTCGATGTGAGCAACAAACATGATATCTGAAAAATCCAGATTTACAGCCAAAGACATTGCTACATATAAGACACTTCATTTTTCATCACCTTCAAGTTTATAGAGTTCTCTGACAAAGGGAATGGATCTAAAACAATATTTCTATGAGATAGTTGCCTCATTTCCCTTAGGTTGCCCTAGAGAAAACACGCATAAAATGTTCGAATGGTGTAGTAAAAAATAAAGATATTTACTGAAGGTATAATAAGTAGTGACCCCCCCCCCCCCCCCGAACTGCGCATGTAGATAGTCTGCAATTATGGCTAATGACCTGTACTAACCACTAACCCCTTCAACCCCCCCCCCCCCCCAAATGAAATTATCTACTGGGTTGTCATGTTTTTGAAGATATATTTCCATCATGAACACAGTCCTAAGATTGTGTTTATTAAAATTTTTAAAATGTACATGTTTTATATACAATTTCTCTTTTTTTTCAGCCAAACAGTGTTGTTTTAAATTTGTTCAATCTACTAGAATTGGAAGAGTTCATTCAAGAACAAACGGTTTCAAACTTTACAAGCTCAAGTACAGGGGAACATATTCCAGGATTTGGTAATTACATTCAGAATGAAATATCTATAAATAAAATTAAGTGTATAGATAGATTTATCGTGTTTTGTTTTACGTCCCGTTCGAGAATTGTTCACTCATATAGAGACATCACCATATGCCGGTGAAGGGCTTCAAATTTACACCTTTACTCGTCACTGAAGGGCAGTGAGCAGTGAGAGTTCTTTATCGTGCTGATGCCTACCGTGATACCGGGCCTCGGGTTTTAAGGGCTCATCCGAATGACCCGCCACTTTCACTTCAAAGTGCCGAGCGCCTAGCGAAGGAACAGTTGCTGCCTATTTTCTATCGACTAATGTCAGTCGCGGCCGTGATTCGAACACACGACCTTCCGATCACAGAGACATAGTGTATTGGGAAAAAAGTACATGTGCACTGTATATCCAATGCTTTAAGTACATTTATATTGAGTTTTCCACATACAACAATTCTAAGTTTTACAAAAGTAAAGTTGCATAAGTAAATGTCAAGTTTTTCATACCCAAGTTCATAAACTAATGAAACAACCGAGACCAGTGCTCACAGCCAGTCACAGGGTGCTAGATACGTATAATACACATTTATTCATATGAAAAGTACTTGTATGTCAAAATGGCTTGAGGTTTTCACATTAATTTCATATGTCTTTTTTGTCTCTTTCTCATGAAAAAAAAAATCACATGAAATTCATGTGAATTTCATATAAAATTTATGTAAGCTACTTTTGCCTGTATACAGAGCCTAGCTGATTTGCCTATTATTTTTTCCCGGGATAAAGCAAACAATTTTCACTTTAATTTCTAGAAAAGTCAGAACTTTGAAAAAGCTACGAAAAGGACTGTTTAAACTTTAATAAGAAAACGTGTAAGAAACCAACTTGTACAAATCATTCAAATATATCGAAAAATTGGTAGGGATTATAAATTTTGAAACCTTTTTTCATCGATAGCCATGCACATACCAATTGTGATAATCCTAGTGGAGGGTGATGTAGATGACATCAAACATGTTGCTAAAGCTGTTCACAGAAAGGTTCCTGTAATTGTCATCAAGGGTTCTGGAAAAGCTGCGGATATTATTCTGGACTATCTCAAAAGGTAACCTTTAACATCACATATGATAAGCCTTTCAGTAACATGTCTTTAATATCAAGGATGTTTAGTTGAAAATTCTTCAAAAATACAGCAAACTGAGTATTGTTATAATGTGCAATTTTAATTTTTGAAGACTTTGAAAAGTCATGCCATAACTGTTTGTTCTGTATTTCAGATAAGGTTAAACTGGTTTGAAAATGATGAAACTTTAGTGCTTCGATCATTTCATGAAACTTAGTCATATCTAGTTGATATCGATAACATTTACAATGTAAACTGTTGTGGAAGCGCTACAAACGACAATATACATACATGTGAAAGATAACTTTTTTACAGTGAGAGCAACCTTCGTAGCCAGGCAGCACTTTTATTTGGACTTAAGTTTGAAGACAAACATTTCAAAGAATTAGAAAAGAACCTCATAAAACTTAAGAAAAGACCTTGGATGGTAATATTTCTGTATATCTCTTTTGTTCCCTCTTCTAGCATATTTTTTTTTTCACTTTCACTATACCATATTTTGTTTATGTTTTTATTAGGTCACCTGAGTCACTCAGGTAACCTATTGCTATCTGTTTTCGTCGTGCGACGTGCGTTGTGCCTCGTCCGTTAACATCTGAACATTTTCAGCTTCTTCTCTGACACCACTGAACCAATTTCAACCAAATTTTGCATATAGCATTTATGGGTGAAGGGGAAAAACATTCATGAATTTCATGGTCCCTGTCCCCCAAGGGCCTGGGGGGTGGGGCTAAAACCACAAAAATTAATACAATTTTTTTTAAAATCTTCTTTACCCCTGGATATCAAGAAGTCAAACTGTAGGCATGATTGTAATACGCATTACGCCCTCTATCAAAATTGTGAATTTCATGACCCCTGGGTCAGGGGTTCTGGTGCTAGGGGTTTGGCTATATAGATCATATTGTGAAAGGGCATTATTTTTTTTTGAAAAGCTTCTTCTCTGCTCATTGATATCAAACAAACTAAGTACATAGTTATGATGAGCAAGAATGCTTCTTTCAAAATTTTGAATTTCATGGCCTCTGGGTCAGGGGTTCTGGTGGTAGGGTGGGGCTATATAGATCATATAGTGAAAGTGCACTATTTCTTTGAAAATCTTCTTCACTGCTCCTGGGTATTAAACAAACTAACCAAGTACATAGTTATGATGAGCAAGAGTGCCTCTTCCAATATTGTGAAATTCATGGCCCCTGGGTCAGGGATTCTGGCGTGAGGGTGTGCTATATTGATAATATAGTGAAAATGCATTAATTCTTTGAAAATCGTCTTCTCTGCTCCTGGGTATTAAACAGACTAAGTACATAGTTATGATGACCACAAGTGCCTCTTTCAAAATTGTGACATTCATAGCCCCTGGGTGAAGGGTTCTGGCGTTAGGGCAGGCTCTAATGATTATATAGTGAAAGTGGCTTAATTCTATGAAAAGCTTTTCCTCTGCTCCTGGGTATTATTTAAACAAACTAGGTGCATAATTATGATAAGCAAGGATGCCTCTTTCAAAATCGTGAATTTCATGGTCCTTTTGTCAGGGGTTCTGGTGTTACGGTGGGGCTCTATTGATTATAATAATGACAAGTTTGGCTTTCCAGAAAGCCTGAAATGTCATCTCTTTGGCTTCATTAATGTCACAGAATAAACAGTGGAATGTTATATTATTTTTTCAGCTATTACAGGCAGTAGTATCGCTTTTGAAAAAATGGGGGGGGGGGGGGTGGAGGACAAAAAAAATAATCGACGATTTATCTGAAGAATCTTCGACAAGGGGAAAAAAGGGGCTATCCAAACTCAACATTTTCATTTCTTGGAGGGGAATGAGGGATTACAACTTTTCCGACAAACATATTTTAAATTATAATACATTCTCATGGGATGATTTGACGTACCATACTGCAACAAAAGGTGGAAGAGGGGTCAAGGGTGCGCCTCTTCAATGTTTGGTGCTATATATGTGCCTGTATTATTTTACCTGTTGTAAATATGCTTTATTCAGTTTAAATATATTTTGTATAATGTCTGTTAAAAATTCTAACCACTGAGAAATATTCGTAAAAACTATTTAATTCATATATTGCGTTTTTTTTCATAAGTTCAGACTACCTAAATTAAAAAGATCTTTCTATTTGTTTTATTACTTTATATAATAATAGGACTTTCCTGTAAATTACACAATTTAAATCAATCACGTTTCAAAGATATTAGAAATTTAAAACAAAAACCGATTTATTTACCGATTCAGATTTTAATTAACAGACACAGTTTGTTTTTTTTAATCAGTCGAACTATGGAAACATGAGGTTATTCAAGTTCAAAATCGGTGAAAATTTTAATTTCAACGTAAATAACATACCGGGGTATATCATGTTTAGCTACACCCAATCTCGTATTTTTATTTTTTAGCTCAGATACGCCATATATAGCTTTAACAATTATTCCGAAAGAAGTTGGATAAAAACTTAGCGTTCCTTTCCTTATTTTCCTTAATCGTGTCCTCTGAAGTGATTTGGCCATCGAGCCACTGGGATTTGATTGATTATAGAGCCACTTTGAATATCAAGGGAAAAATTGAGACACTCCTGTATCATGCCCTTCTGCTGCCCATGCAGATTCATGTTCTAACGCTATATTATGTATAATATAAGTACATGTACATGTATACTCTCCTGGGAAAAAAATCATGCATAGAAAGGTAATAAAATTAAAACGTTACCATTTAAAATTAAGTATTAACACACCGAAAAGAACCCCAATCTACCAACATCGATTTTATAGGCTGTTCCATGAGACACACATTTAAAATTTAAAATTTTGGCTTTATTTCAAGAATACGAGGAATGATTTTTTTTACCTTTTCTCATTGACAAAAAACACAAATTAGAATTGCATAAATAAAATTATAACAGTTGCTTTGTTTATTAATTCTTAAAATCTGGGCCAGGTAAAGAAAACTATCTTTTTTTATACTTTTCTACAGGGGTAAATTTAAATAAAAAAGAATAAAGTGCACACATCCGAGAAAATACTCATATAATGATTCTTTATGATCTTTATTCCAATGCCTGCAGCACTGAGTTACATAAACCAGAGACATTTATGTTCCTGCCTAGATTGTGCTTTTAGGTAAAATTTCTTTTCTTCGAATTTTATTTATTTATTTATTTATTTATTTTTTTTGAATAAGTTCTGTTTTATTTTTCATATATATACGGCATTAATTATCGATTGACTAAAGTGCACATAAAAGTAAAGTTTTTGCCATTGTATATATGCATTTAATGTGAGTTGTTATTTAAATGTTTTCACTGCATGTTTTCTTTCGTCAGTAAATCTTGGATCCACGCCTTGGCTTATACATTCAATATGCCATGTTCCCTGCGCGCTGACCATCGTTTTACGCAATAGCCTAGATACAATGTTTATGTGTATAAACCGTTAATGAAGACCCACCACCACCCAAGTGATCCTACCTCTATTACTCTTAATGAACACTGGTGTAGTTTTACTTTAAGATGGACCATTTTGTTTAATAATAATAAGACAGAGTTTGGTCAATTTTGTTTACATCTCTATATTTAGAAATCGTGTCATCGTCAGTTCCAATGGCAGCTTACACTAGGACTTCACTTCCGGTGATTCAAACTTAATGTGTCATCTCCCGAGGGAGATGACAAAAATGCATTAATTCTTTGAAATCGTCATCTCTGTTCCAGGGTATTATTTAAACAAACTAAGTACATAATTATGATAAGCAAGGGCGCATGCCTCTTCCAAAAATGTGAAATTTATGGACTCTGGGTCAGGGGTTTTGGTGAAAGGGGGGGGGGCTCTATTGATTATATAGTGAAAAAGCATAATTTCTGTGAAAATATTCTTCTCTGCTCTTGGTTACAAAGCAAAGACACTAAGATAATAGTTATAATGAGCAAGAGTGCTTCTTCCAGAATTGTGAGTTTAATGGCAACTGGGTCAAAGGTTCTGGTGTGAGGACAGGGCTCAATTGATTATATATAAAGAATGCTTTAATTCTATTAAATAATCTTATCTGCACCTTGGTGTTGATTGATTGTTTACGTTCCAGTAAATTCGTGAATATTTTAATCATATAGAGACGTCACCATAAACCGGTGAAGGGCTTCAAATTTTGACCTTTACTCGGCACTCAGGGCCATTGAGCAGTGAGGGATCTTTATCGTGCCAACGCCTGCCGTGACACAGGGCCTCGGGTTTTAAGGTCTCATCCGAAGGACCCGCAACTTTCACTTCAGTGTGCCAAGCGCATGGTGAAGGAGCAGTTGCTACTTATTTTTTTATCGACTTAGGTCAGTCGTTGCCGAGATTCGAACTCACGACCTCCCGATCACGAAGCGAGCGCTCTACCGTCTGAGCTACCGTGAACAGTCACCTTGACGTTGGGAAGGTACACAGAGTGCATGGTTATGACGATCAAGGGTGCTTTTTACAAATTTTTTGAAACATTGGTCTCAGGGTCAGGGGTTCTGGTGTTTCTGGAAGGGGGGGGGTATGATAATATAGTGAGTCTGAGAATGTGTTAATTTTTGTAAAATTTAAATTTTTGAATTTCATGACACTGGGTTATGGATTTTGGTGTTAGGGTAGGGCTGTGTTGTATCTGTAGTGAAAATTCATTATTTCTTTGAAAATCTTCTCTGCTCATGGGCATATCGGAAGGAAACAGGTTAATAGTTTTAATAAGCAAGGGTATTTTTCCCCTGGGCCAGAAAAGATAAAACTGATATGGAAACGACCTCAGGTAATAGAGATTCAAGGTTGTTCAAAGCACGAACCCCAGGGGTAGATCGGGGTCACAGTGGACCATCAAAGATTTACATAGGAATACATAGGAAATATCTTTAAAAAAGCAAAGCCATGACTTGTCATATTTACAAGGAAGCATCCTCAGGTTGTGTTAATTAAAGTTTGTTCAAATTATTACCCTTGGGGGGGGGGGGTAGGTTGGTGCCACAAAAGAAGATAAAACTTGTAGGAAAAACATTGTTTTGAAATACTTGTAGGAAAAACATTTTTTTCAAAAACTTCTAAAGCCATTATTTGTCAAAGAAATAAGGTAGCATCCTCAGCGTAGATTCAAGTTTGTCCAAATTATGCCCCCCCCCCCCTCCCCTTAGGAATAGGTTGATACCACTCATAAATACTGAACGCTTAGCCAAAGTGCTCAGGTGAGCGATGTGGCCCATGGGCCTCTTGTTTTTACTTTTTTTGTCTTCTGAGCCAAAGGCTCAAAGAACTAATTTAATGCTGTGGCCATTTGTGCAATGTGCCTAAACTTTTTAGAATATGGGCTATATCTCAAGAACCCCTTGGTCAATTTTTGTCAAATTAGTAATAGAGTATCCTTGGCCCATGGGC